ACTTGACAGGGTCAAATGGCATGAAGAAATAAGGTGTTCCACCAAGTTTGAGTCAATTTGGGTAAAGTTTCCAATGCAACTTTTGTAAACCCTAGAAATCAATAAAAAATGGGTTTTCCAAGATCTAGTCATGCAAAACTATTCCCCTTGATGCACCACTTGGTGTACTGTCATCATTTGGGGTTTTGAACATGTCCACAAGATTTGAGATAAAAAAGAGGAGGTTGGCAATGTAAAGTTGTTCAAACTTGAATCTGGAGAGAGAAGATTTTGGGGAACTTTTGTGAACCAAAACTATTTTGATTGAGTTGAAACTTTGCAAGGTCATCGTATTATGCATCTGTGACTTTCTAGAATATTTTTGGAATTTACAGAGAAATTTTCCTTTGTAAATATTTCAAAAGCTTGAAATATCCAGAAAGGGTTTTTGAGGGATTTGACCAATATTTTAAACATGACCATGTGTTAGAACTCATATATATGAATAATATATGACCAATGAGCTTCCCTAAATTTTCTCAAATATTTTTAAAACATTAAGATAATTTTAACCTATTAAAGACCATTTCTGGCCTTAAGAAAAAGCCTTTAAATAAAATAGGAAAATAACTTTAAAATATTTTCTCACTGTGACCAACTAGCATGCGGCACATGACGTATCTGGTTGGCCACCATTATGGCGCCTCTTAATGGGTTTAATTAATTTAATGAGGGAGCGGTTGATTCTTTGGCATGGCAAACGGAGTGAGCATCAAGACCCACACGTTGTATCTGACGGCGTAGGTCGCAATGCGCTCGTTTTTGTTTCTGGAGAACGTCTGTCTTTTAAGATCTTCATAAAAATATGACGGACGGGCTAGAGATGCCCCTGGGATGAAAATTAACTTCTAATATTTTTGGTAAAACATGGAAGACCGGGCTAGAGATGCCCACATGATGAAAATTAATTCCTATGATGAAAATTAACTTCTAAGATTTTTGGTAAAACACGGAAGACCGGGTCAGAGATGCCCACATGATGAAAAATAATTCCTATGGATACTTCCCGCAAACCAATCTATGGTTAGATCATTAGAAAGGCAGTAGCATATCCCCAGTCTAACAAGGTTTAAGTCCTAATCTTGACATTAGTGCTCGCATTTTTCCGAATTTATTTCAGACTTTTTTTATGTGCGTTCAGTGAAAGAAGACATTTCCGTCAACTACAAAGATGTATGTGGCGATTTCATCAATCTAAGATGATGTGATTGTTTAGTCTCTCAGATGTGCTCATCTCTACTCATACAGGAGACTTGGTAGTCGCCTCCACGAGTTTAGAGCATCTCTAGTAGACCTTGTATAATGCCGCGATCCGTAAAATAATCGTCAAAATGCTGGTCAGCGCAAAAAATCCTGCCCGGGCAAACCCAGCAAACGCGTCCGACCCGTAAAAGTTTTTGTGAGGCGCGGCATAATTCCCGCCCCAACCCGCGAAAACGCGGGTCCCCCCTCGCCCCGTTGGTGCCCTGTATATACCGGGAGCAGTTGGTTGGCGGGACATTTGAGCCCGCGCTTTTCCCCACCCACCGCCGCCCCGCGCTTTTCCCCACCCCCGCCGCCGGCGACTCTGGCCAACCTAGCTGGCCGGATCACGCCGGAGGGCCGCGACACGACCGAGCTTGCCCTCCGCCACTTCCTCCTGAGTCGGCGGGCCGGAAGGTTGCAGATCGGTGGTTGTTCGAGGTAGCAGCCGGATTTGGCGTTTCCGGCCACCGGGGGCTGCGCCAAGCCATGGATTGGTCGGGGAGCAGCCCGCGTAGCCCCGGCAAAGCCGCAGCGCCGCATGCCGGTACAGGTTCGTCCTGTAGCCGTCGTCGCCATCGGTTTTGCCGGCAAGGATTAGGCCGGCCGGCCGCCGAGCTCGGCGCTTGCGCAGCGGCTCGTCGGCTCGCTGATGCCACTAGTACAGTGCGACGATTGCACGCGGATAGTGGTGCGGCTAACTTCTAGCACGCCGAAGCACCCCGGATGGGTGTTCTTCAAATGCGAAAACGACGGGTATATGTTGTTTTCATTCAGCTTTGCCACTGTATTCTTTAGTTCAATTGCAATAGCTCATTTTGAACATCGTCATGTGTGTAGGAAGATGGATGCTCATTTTGATTTTGGGAAGGAGAATACATTGATTCATTGATAAAAAGAAACTTAATAGATGTTTGTGCACTCCTTAGTAGAATTGCGGCTGCATGTGCAATTAGAAAAGAAAGTATAAGGGAAGCAATGTCTACTTCTTTGCAAACAAAGAAGAAGAAAGAAGAATGCAAGATCAAGAAGCCGCAGATCAACAACAAATGCATGAAGAAGATATTGCTCCAACTAGTGGCAGCAGTTATGGAAGTTGGATATCTTCTAAAATGCATAATTGTGGTTCTTGTTTTTTTCGGTCTTGCTATTTCTAGCAAAGATTTGATGAATTACTATCTATCCAATGCCGTTGAGGGAAATAAAAAAGCAAAGAAATCCATTTTCACGTGGGAAATTAAAATGCAAATTTCGGATTTGCGGGCCGGCGGGGACAGCGCCCAAGAAAACCCCGGAAAGTCGATCCGTAAAAAAGCATATTCCGTGAATATCCTTTTTTACGGGTCCATTTTACGGGGTCCGACTCTGCCGCCACCCGCGCTGGCTCGTAAAGCCGTTTTTCCGAAAATTATAAACACATTTTGCGGGTCGGCATTATACGGGGTCTGCTAGAGATGCTTTTATTTCGTTTTTTTTGTCTCACCTCACACCACCCTTTTCACTGGTTTATTTTCTTCCTCTCATTGAAAACCAAATCCCATAAAAGGATGAGATCTTGTTTCGTGCTTACTTTGGCAGGCTATATCTCAATTCAATTACGTAAATAATAGGTAATTAAGTGCATATCCGTTTTTAAATATAAGTCCTTTTACAGATTTCAATACAAATTACACACGGATGTATATATACCCATCTGTTCCTAAATATAAGTCTTTATGGAGATTTCACTATGGACCACATACGGATGTATGTGGATGCATTTTAGAACGTAGATTCACTCATTTTGCTCCGTATATAGTCCATAGTGGAATCTCTACAAAGACTTAATTTTGGAACGGAGGGAGTACATATTTTAGAATATAGATTCATCCATTTTGCTTCGTATGTAGTCTCTTATTGCCTTATTAAAATATATAAAAAGACTTATATTTAAGAATGAAGGAAGTAGTATGTTTAAAAGAAAATTGTTTCCCAGTCATGTGCCGTGCGCTCAAAGCGACAAGGACTACATGGAGAGGGAACTGGATCTTCTAACATTAAGAAGAAAAGTTAGAAAAGTTATAATACCCTAACATTCTTTCTTTCAATCCATATAATTAAGTCTAAAATAATTTAAATTAATTTTTAAATTATAGTTTAATGTGTACATTCATAATCATTACATAGAAACAATTTGATGGTGAAATAAAATTAGTTGTAGATTATTTATATCTACAATAAATATCAATAGCAAGTAATTTGTTATATGTCTCTAACCTTCCTTCTTCATTTTACACTACGATTGAGTTGTAAGAGTAATTCTAATAGGGCGAACCATTTCGTCCGCGGCCGTTCGTTTGGGTCGGCACGGACAAAAAAACCCGGCCCAACGCGCTAACCCAAACGGACGCGCGTCCGCCTGCCGACCCATTTCCGATCCATTTTTTAGCCTGATTTGCGTCGGCGCGGACACAAAACGGACGCGTGTGCTCGCCCTCATTATTCACCGGGCCCGCTGGTCGGTTGCATATTGGATTCACACACTCGTCCGCCTGCTACGTCGCCGACGCCCCCGGCCATTTTTTCAGATTAAAATGGATACATAGATAGTTCTAGCGTACACATATAAAAGAAAAAGACCACTACTCGTCGATTTCTGACTCCGACTCGGTAATGTCCTCCTCCGACGTTTGAAGGCAGGCGTCAGCAAGCTGCTCGTCTTCAAAGTCCCAACATGATGTTTCTTGTAGTTTCAGTTTCAATTGAGCTGCCTGCTTCTGCGAACGCTTGTCCTCCCGATAGGCGGCTCGCTCCCTCCTCCTCGTGTCCCTCTCCGATCTCAATTGCTTGTAGAATTGGCACTCGTCGACGATGTCCTGCGGGTAGCCTCCGCGCCACAGCACCAAGGCTTCCACGTCCTTCTCTGTGATGGCGAGGCGACGCTGCTGCCTCCGGTGGACACGACGATCCTCGTCGGTGAAAAGCCGCGGGAGAGGCGCCAGATCCTGCGCCCGCTGGCTCGATATGTTGGGAAAATTCATATCCCGACGAGGCCTCAGGAGGCGCCACTCCGCGCGTCGTGCGCGCGGGCCGCCTCCTCTGTGGTGTCGAAGGTGCCGAGGACGAGACGTTTCTCGCGAAACCAGATCTCGACGGAGAAGGCGCCGGAGCGGCGCTCGCGGACTCCGCAAAAATTGAAGCGCGCACGCGGCGGATCGACATGGTGGCGCAGAGGCGGCGAGAGTGGGCGGCCGACAGAGTGTGGAGGGAGCGCCTTCTTTATAGCGAGCACCGGCCGCAGCGCGCGCGCGAACCTTTCCCGCGCGCTGGAACGCCAAAACCAGCGCGCGCTAGGCTGCTTTCCCTCGCGCACGAACCTTTCCCGCGCGCTGGAGCGTCTAAATCAGGGCGACGACAAGATGTTAAACACGCGCGGTCATGAAAATGGGTCGGCCCGTTGGACGCACTGCCGACCCAAAACTAAAAGAGAGTGGACGACAGGCGGGCCGCCGACCCAAACGGACAAAAACACCGTCTGTTTGAATCGGCCCGTTGAAGTTGCTCTAACACCGTGATTTTGCTTCTCTAAGTCAGAGGATACGGCTCCCACGGAGAGAAAGCAAGGATCTTTTATTTAATTTGACTCTTTCGTTGCCATCCAACCACCAAGATGCGATTGCGATGCGAATAGATTGACGCGTGGTTGATAATTGATCTGCTACTACAGTACAGTGTGTGAGTCACTTGGGGTCGGGGTTGGTGAGCCTGACGACCTGCTTGCCGACGTTGCGGCCGTGGTAGAGGCCGATGAGCGCTGCGGGCGCGGCGTCGAGCCCGTCGGCGACGTCCTCGACGTAGACGACCCTGCCCTCCTTGATGTGCGGGAGCACCCACGCCATGTACTCCGGGTAGAGGTGCTTGTGGTCGGGCTCGATGAAGCCCTGCATCTTGATGCGCTTGGAGACGAGGGAGGTGAGGTTGCGCACGCCGACGTCGGCGTCCTTCTCGCCGGCGGTGAGGTTGTACTGGGAGATGAGGCCGCAGACGGCGATGCGTCCGTGCACCTTCATGTTGAGCAGCACGGCCTCGAGCATCTTGCCGCCAACGTTCTCGAAGTAGACGTCGATGCCGTCGGGGAAGCGCTTCTTGAGCGCGCCGGCGAGGTCGGCGTCCTCCTCCTTGTAGTTGAAGGCGTCGTGGAAGCCGAACTTGTTGATGAGTAGGTCCACCTTCTCCTTGGAGCCCGCACTGCCGACGACGTGGCAGCCGAGGAGCCTGGCGAACTGGCCGACGAGCTGGCCGACGGCGCCGGAGGCCGCGGAGACGAACACCGTCTCGTCGGCCTTGGGGGAGCAGATGTGGTGGAATCCCACGTAGGCCGTGAGCCCCGGCATGCCGAGGATGCCGGTGTAGTAGGACAGCGGCACGCCGTCGTCGGGCTGGATCTTGGTGAGTATGGCCGTGAAGGGCGGCTTGATGACGCTGTAGTCCTCCCAGCCGGTCATGCCCCAGACGAGGTCGCCGGCGGCGAGCCCGGGGCGCGAGGAGCGGACGACCTCGGACACGCCGTAGCCGGTGATGGCGGCGCCCGGGACGAAGGCGGCGGTGTAGGACTGGTGCAGCGGGCGGGACATCTTGGGGCGCATGTAGGGGTCGCAGGAGAGGTAGAGGTTCTTGACCAGCACCGAGCCCTCCTCGGCCTCGTCGACGGGCGCGGCGGGGAGTAGCTCCATGTGCGCCTCCGTGGGGTAGCCCTCCACGTAGTCCTTGAGGATCACCCGCCGGCTCTTGAGCTCCGCCATCGCCGCCGTGGGTGGACTGCAAGACTAGGATCTGAGGGAGTTGAATTGGTTTTGATATTTTATTTTGCTTGGAGTTGGAGTGGATATATGATGCCTGCCGATGATGGACGGACGAGGGCGATGGTGCACGGTGGTCCAGCTCCACGGCGATGCGCTGGGCTGGCCGGTGCTGCTCCGTCCACTTGTTACGGTCGGTCCGGCGCTTCCCCACGGGCACCACGTGCCAATAATTGAAGCGGCACTCTGCACAGCACAGCACATTGGTAACAGATGTTTTAACAGTCCTTTTTTCCGTTCGCGTGCCAGAAAAATTGCGGGCCTGCACTCCCGGGACCAGGGGAGGGGCATGTCGTTCGCTTGCGAGATCGGTTCTCACGGCGACAGCGACCTACCACCCGACGACCACCGGAAGCGCGATGCGACGGTGTCAATCCAAGAAGCTGCAGGCTCGGCCGAATCGACCGGGCCGAGCGGCCAGCGAACAAACTCATTTTTTCGGTGAAAAAGATTGCTTGTCCGTTTTTTGCGTCAAATTGTTTGATTTGCACAACGCGCACAATGCTTGTGAGTCGTGACTAATCCCCTCCCGAGCACGCCCAACACGGATGCATCAGCCCAGGGCCACACCAACGTTTACAACGATGTGTCCTTGTCGGCGGGAGGATTCCTTCTTCGTTTGTACATGTTTTCTTGAGTTTGATTAGGCCAACTTCACCGCAACCCTAATCGAACGTTCAGTTTGTCCGGAATTTATCCGTTTGGGATGGCAATGGGTCGCAAAACGGACATACATGTCCGAGTAGAGTTGGAGGTGCCTAACGCACCAAACTATCCCAAAATGTCCGTCTCGGCCGCATGCCTCATCCGCCCGTGAGCTCACGCTCTCGCTCCGCTGGTGCAGCCGCCGCTGTCAAGCTCGTCCATCCTCGCGCCCGCTCACCCCCGCCCGCTCGTTGTCGCCACCCCGCGCGCGCCCTGCCTGCGTCGCGCCCGGGCCGAGCCCG